TTTTGTTTACATTTGAAAATGAAAAGGATTTTTTCTAGTACAAGTAGATACTTTTCATTAGATTACTTACATCATTTAAATTGTTTGGACTGTTGTCCTCATTATTATTGCCATATTCACGACGTTTCGGCTGTTGTATGCTCCGGCGTTCTTAAGATGATTGGAAATAATGTTGCCAGTTTTGGGTAAAATTTAGACGATTTAATGAAGGTGAATAAAATAATTTACAATCAAATATATATATTTAGCATCTATTAACACAAAAAGATTAGAAGGCGGCGACTTGGAATCTCGATCTGTGTTCAGCAAGGTTCAGTCAGAAATTCAAGTGGATTTTGGGATCCTTCCTCGTACGGGTGTGCAGCTGTGTGTATGTCTGACCATCCATCTGTCTCAGAGTCCCAGTTCGTCTCCCGTGTATCCTCAAAATCGAGCTGAATTTATACATAAAATAATCCAAAAACAAAGTTCAAACTAAAATTTCAGCATCCAAATCTCTAGTGTGGTCTTGTAGCCGATTGAACTAAGCAAACAAATTCACCGAATATTTGACAATATAATTCCATGCAATCTCTCTTTATTAAAATAATGCCTTTCAGACAACAAGATGAACATTTTTGTTAAAGAATTTCTGCAAACCTTTAATTTAACAGCATTCAACATTATGAAACAGAAGTATTATCCAGTGAAACTTTTAAATCACCACGATATTTAAAAAAAACTTCCATACTCATGATAATAAAAAGGAGTATCATTGAATATTTCTCCTCTGTAAGAGGATCTTTTCGTGTGATATAAACTACTATATAAAAAAGCGACATTTTAATATCTTTGTGGATACCAGTTTCTAGGTCTTGCATGCAGGTGATCAAATGTTTGGCATGCCAATTCATCCAACAAATATCCATATTTTGAGCAGTTATGTCCTGGACCATGGCTATAATGTCTAACATCAACTTTCAACTGAAGAAGTAATTTTGTTTTTTTGAATAAGAAATTTCTGAAGAACATTTTGTATTGTAATAAAATAAGTACTGCCAGAACCTTGTCTCAATTTACCAAATTCAGTTTCAAGTTAGTCAATGGTAAATTCTCCAAGAATGACAAAATTTAACTCACTGTTAAGTAAATGCTTGCAAACATCAATTAAACCATTACATGTATGCTCGATAGCCATACTATTGTCTCTTGTGAAGGATTTTTATTCTCTTTCATTCCTTTTCCCTCATTTGTTTTGCCATACTTCCAAAATTTACAAGACATTCAAAATTTTCATCATTTCGATCTGATACCACTCTTTTCAGTGGATTATTTGACTTGGCACTTCTATAAATATCTTTTACACTCACTATTTTTCCATATTTCAAAACATCTTCGATGAAAGTAATAGTTTCTCTTGTATCATCATCCTGTTATAATGGATGAGTTTTCATTACAGTTACAGTCTCATCACAAAACACTTTCAAACGGTGGGAAACCTTTTGTCTCTCAAGTTGTTTTAGAAGAATCGATATTTCTGTTAATTTTGATAACCTAAATTGATTTTTTTCATACACAAAAAGCTGTTTCACTATTTCCCCTTTTGCTCTCATTTCTTTATTATCAGAATAAAACAGTAATTCTGGATAATCCTCAGTTATCCACTTACTGCAAATACTTTTAAATATATATATATGTACATAATCGAAAAGCAAGTATAAACCATTTTAGTAACCCAAGGCTTATTTGCAATAGTATCAAATTTCTTGAATAAAGCTTGATTAGTCCGATTATTGTCACAAATAACTGCAATTGCATGACGTTTCAAATGATTGAATAAATCAACATTTCTAACATTCTGAAACAAAAATTCCGAATTTAGTTTGGCAACTGGGATCATCTTAATCTTAATCAAAGATTTGGGTAAGTAAAACCAAATAAGTCTCCTCCTTGGTTTCTCACTTTAACATAAACTAGGATGATACATTTTTTTCTGTCCATCTGACATTTTGCTAAACACATCACCAAGAAAATTCAGATCATCTACCTTCGAAATTTTTTATGTCATATCCACTAGTGTTTTCAAGCTGGGTAATTTGTAATCATCTCGAATTCTTTTATAACGAGACTGAGATGCAGCAAAATATTCGAATGCCCGAACAAGAAATTCCGATTTGTAATCTTTTTTGCCAACTATTCGTGGTGACAACTTCGATATGTGTCTTTCGTGCAATTTTCAAGTTACGAAGGTAACGAATTGCTTCCTCAATTAGAAACAAATGTTGAAACATATTCATTCTGTTTTTCAATAGAGAAGAAATGTATGTGCGTATATCTGCATGATAACATTCAAATGTCAAGTTTAAAAAATTTAAAGGAAAAAAATCGGAATACCCCCAGTAAAAAAAATGAAAAGATTGGATGAACTGTTGATTGTTTGATTTGTAGCAGGTAACTGCTGGTGGGAAATCATTATGGTCAATATCAGCACAAACATTTGTAAAATTCTCAAATCTATCGTTTTCTAAGATATGTACAAACTCATTATTTTGAAAACTTAGCACAGAATCGTAACTTTTTTTGTTATACTTAGTTTTGGTAAATGACTTGGTATCACACTTGATGGCAAATTATTAAATATTGATGGATGATATTTGGACCGTGTTTTCCTCTATACAAACACAATTTCATAACCAGGTGGAAAATGCCTTTCACAAACAACAGTTTCTGGATGATTAGTGGTGTTATCTCTTGGTATTACCCTTAACCATCATTCTCTCTCATCTTGATCTTTTGGGAGACAAAACACCTGGTCCTTATTTTGCTCATTAGAATTGCCTCGACAAGCTGTCACACCAACATCTCTTGACCATTTTAAGATAATAATTGAACAGTATAAATCAATTTTTTTAACAAAATTATAGCTTAAATTTTCCCTGAATTAAAAGAATTTAAGTTTTATAAATGAAAACAGTGGTTAGCCAGCTTTTTTAGATTTTCAATGTTCACTAAGCATGTAACTTCAATATATTTCAAATAATCAAAAATACTCGTGATGATTTTATATCATCCAAGATTATAAGAAAAGAACAATTTCTTGAATGCAGCTGAGATACAAAAAGATATTTTTAGGCAAAAGTTCAATGTGTTTTATTAAAACAATTTTTGTTCAACGGATATATTTTTATTGTACAGAAAAACGATCATATAAAATTATTATATCAAAATTTATCTGATTATATCAAATGTATAGCAAATGTGAGAAATTAAAATTAAAATAGTTGTTAATAAAGATGTAACAAGATTGAGAGATTTTAAAATACAGCGGATGGTTAGTTGAAATAGCATAATTTTTTAAACAGTTAAACAATATTACTTAAATATATATTGCTGTTATTATGAAGAAAAAGTTTGTAAAAAATTATTTGCGATATTGTAATAAATTTCAATCCAACGAAAATTGCAAATAATAGATAACAGTAGTTTATCACATTAAAATACTGAGTACTACAGTAGTTCAATAAAATTAATAATGAAGAAAAATATAGATCTCAATGAAATTCAATTTTGACATTTTACAATATACTCACAAAATTATGATAATCCAAATGTAATTTATGATAAAATACAAAACCTCAACTAAAATAAATTTGATGGGTGAAAATTTCCTTTCAAAATGAATTTATTGCTATGTGTCGGATCAATGAAAGTCAGTTCAATATCTTTATTGGAAGCGATAACGCATATTCCATCACATATACTTATTGCTCGGAGTAACACTTCCTCAAGACATTATGTCAATTTGACAAATCTCTTGGACCATTTCTACATGTCCCTTAAACAATTCCATCACACACATCTTATATTAAAAGGATCGCTGGCAGTTCTCCGTTCATCGAAATTTGGCGAGCTTTTTTGTCAGATTTATCAAGGGTATCGCAATACTGGTGAATCCGGGGATAAATCCATAATATCCCATGACGCCAATGATTCCTCTCACTTCTTTCACTGATTAAGGCTCTGACATACCTTATTACCTTGTCCAGAACGGGTTTCACTCATTTCTTGTTAATAACGAATCCTAGATAATTTGATTCCTCCTTTAAAGATTGTCATTTCTTTAATCCATGTTTCAATCGGTCAAACACCAATTGTAAATGACGAGTTTTCCTCCGGGTCTTTAGAAAACATCAAAATGTCATTGAGATAAGCTATCATAAATCCTTCCATTTCGCTCAAGACTATAGTCATTAAATGCGACAAAATTCCAGGCGCCCCTGATAACCCAAAAGGCATGACCCAAAATTGATTCAGTCCTAGATGGCATCCGAACGCGGTTTTCTGGCGGTCCTTTTCATCCATGGCCACTTTGCTGTAACCTGCTCTAAGATCAATTGTGGAAAAACATGTAGCTTTTCCTAGAAGAGATTATATGTCAGAAGGGCGTACGAAGTCGGTTTCGTTATTTTATTCAACGTTCTGAAGTCCACCCAGAATCTGTATTCACCGTCTTTCTTTCCCACAATAACTATCGGAAAACTCCAAGATGACTGGATAGTTCTATCTTCGTCTCTTGAGTGTTTTTTCCATCAGCTCTCTCTTGTTTATATACTATATCGCCTCAATTTCAGTGGAAGATGTTCTCCAGCATCTATTTTCATTTTGTCTGTTTTAGTACGACCCAGCTCGTTATCTCTTCGAGCTATTACTTGCTTATTAGCTCCCAAAAGCCGAACCCCTCGACGTTTGTACTCTCTTGGGACCTTAATCACTTCTTTCTCCATAGATCTTATGTCTTATGTCCTATCCTGGTATTTTATATGACACTTAACACTCAGTAACACTGCCTTGCCCACATTTGACCTGGGCAATATTGTCTTGAAACCTTTGTTAGCAATCAATATAGGCACATTTCCAGTTAATTCCCCTTCAACTACAGTCGGCAAAATCGTTAATTCATCGTTTTCTCCGGCCAACTCCGATAACAGAGTTACTTTGGTACCACAAACCTTCCTTCTCAAATGCTTGCTGCCACTGTCCGAGAGGGTATTTTCATATCTTACTCAGACAAGACTTTCGTTTCCCTTGGTTGCAATTTGCCAAGCGGGATTTCTTCCTTACACAGCATCAACGCTGGCGGTTCAAAGCGAATTACTGCATTATACATTTTCACTGGTATCCTCCAATTAATTCTCTGCCAAGGCAGGGTGATATATAAATTCTATGAACTTTTTCTAAGTTGCATAACCGTACCGATACGTCCATCATTTCTAATATCTCCATTTCATCTGGGAAACCTCAATATTTCTAGGTTTGAGCTGTGCTTCATTCATTCTCAATCGCTTCAACCCCTCGAGTTTAATACAGATATCTCCGAACCTGTATCTATCAAAAGCCCACACTGAGTGTTGCCCTACCATAACCTCGCAGGTTAACTCTCCTTTCTCGGAAAGTAACTCGACCAACTTAGTTTTCCTTCGTCCCTTATTTCTTAACTACCCCCAAGGGAATAATTCCACTTTATTTTTATCGTTCCTTATTCTTCCCTTCCTGGGATGTTCACTCTTTCTCTCTTCAAGGAACCCTCTTCTTTTCTTCAGTTCTTGTTCTGGGGTTTTTCACTACCCTACGTCTTCTTTTATTGGGACAATTTCTGACCACATGACCCTCCTTTCCACAGCCATAGCATGTTCTTTTAAATGTACAATCCCGGACGAAATGACTCCACAGCCGTAACATTTAGCCCTGTCATACTCTCTAACCAAGTAATCACTTCCTCCACATGTCCAGCACACTATTTCTCTCTGGTATTTCTCACTTTTCACTGCAATAGAGTTCACTGGACCAACGAACTCTTTATATTTCTTCCTGGGATGACCCATATCAGTTTAAAGTATTCTTCCGAGAGTAAGCTTCCTACCCATACCTCTCCTTTTAACTGGTCCCCGCCGTTCAGTGTGTCCCTTCCGACCACACTTGCAACACTTCGGCTTTCCCTAATCCACTTCCTCTGGGGGGAAGCCTTCCTTAGTCGGACAGTCCTTCGCTCTGTGTCCATTTCGATCACACACAAAACACACTATCCCATACACTCTGGGGGGTGGGGGTGATATACCGTCCTTCTCACAACGACCACCATTTATGATTGGTTGTTTCCCTTTTCCAACCTTCATTTCAGCCCGGACACCTAGCCCTTATATGTCCCCTTCTACCACACTCATAACACACCTTCAGCTTCTCACTTATGCTCACCAACCTTAATTCTCCCTTCTCTCCCTAATCTTGTGAGTAACGCCTCACTTCTCTTGGCCAAAGGCCGCTATCGATTCCTCCCGCTTATGCCTAACACCTACCAAGTCCCTCGCTGCCTCAGTCATGTTCGAAAGGCTGCCAAATTGACCAATTTCTGATTCCACGTGCTTCCATGAAGGACTGGAGTTCCACTCCAAATACTCTACAAAGCACTCAAAGGCTGACCTTTCCGTATAGCCATAAGCCAGTTCGATCATGAGACAAATTATATATGCGGTCCTTTCGGATTGCCTCAATCCACGGACGAAGGTGTGTGGTTTTCTTTTATCTTGGTTTCAGCCATTCTATTCATAGATATATCAATATAATTTACTTTATTTCCAATGGCGAACAGCAACAATTTTTTCAAGTTTAACAACCGAAGCCAAAAGGAGGCTCAATGTGAAATAATAACAAAAGGACAAAAGAAAGGATTTCTGACCTACCTTAGTTCCTCACTTGTCTTAGGCCATGTCCATCGCTGCTCCCATCCTGGTTTGGTCTCTTCTGTTATTTATCGAAAGTCTAGTGATGAGGACTTCTGAGCAAGGGTTCGGTTTGAAATTCCAATTACCTGAAGAAGGCCGAAGCGTACAACGACCGAAACGTTGTGAATATGGCAATGAAGATGAGGATAACAGTCCGAATCATGTAAATAATGTAACTTTTTAAACAGTTCATACTTTTACATTCTTCCTCAGAAACTTAGTTAATCAAACACAGCGGATTTATTAAAACTTAAAAAAATATGAATACTTTTAATTTATTATTTCTTATATCTATATCACCTCATTTGTCCGTGGATCCGTAACAACCTAACGTACCCTACAACGGTCCACGGACCCCGGTCATGAAGTGTTGAACACCACAGTATTCTTGCATATCCGTATTGTTTTCCTACGTTTCTGACGGCGGCGTCCAGTGGTAGGACTTTCTTTTAAAAAAATGTTGCGTAATTCACAGTAGAATTGAATTCCACTTTGTGACCACTTCTCCAGGATCCGGGGCTCGGATGGAAATTACAGGTGTTTGAGAAAATTCCAAAGGAAACCACTAATACCATTGTCAAACTCGACTACAGTTTTTTTACGATAATATGTGTATATGTATACAGATGTATATCTAACGTTAGTTAACTTTATAATGGCTCCCAGACGGATGGGATATGTAATTTCTCTCAAAATTCCACTGAAATCAATTGATAAACAATGCCGACAGCATTTTTAGAATAGATACGTATGAATAGAATATGTATTCTTTGTAAGAAATCAGTTTGTAGAGCAGGTTTCGTTGATATTTTTTTTTTTTTTTTTTTTTTTTTTTTGCAATGAGGGTTTTTTTGGTCGAGTCAAATGTATTACTGGTAATTTATTTTAAAAATATTGTTGGTATTTTTACTATAAAAGTGTATTTTTAATACTTTCCTAGTGTTTTTAACCAAGTTTGAGAGATTCACTATTTGCCCAAAATTAGGGCCCTAACAGGTGCTACCAGCCCATATCAAGTGGTATTTATTATATATGTATATTTCTGTGTAAATACGCATGCATATAAGCATTGGTGATAGAAGTATGTAGGTAGGTATCGATTTGTCAGGGAGATTACTTCTTGATATAATCGACATAGGGAGTCGTTCCCAGTAGTGCTAGGGCGAATTCACAAGTCAAGGTATATTCTACTGTCATTAATATTTTTCCTTTTTTTTTCTTTTCAGCTGACTGCATGCAAATATATCTATATATATGCAACATCCAAAGGATATGAAATGTGGTACAGGAAAATGATTTACAAAAATAATTTGTTCAAAATATTATTTTATTAGATATAAATATTCAAGATTTCTTTGTAAAGTAAACAATATTTTTGCTATTATTCTTTTCTTTTTTTTTTTCACGTGAAGGACATGTTACCGAAGATGCTATTACAGTTATTCTGAATACGGTTACGGTAAAGTATTTACACTGTTCGGACTATCATTCTCATCTTTGTTGCCATATTTATCACAACGTTTCGGCCGTTTTACGCTCCGGTTTCTTCAGATGGTTGGAATGTCGACAAAAGATGAGGATGATAGTCCGAACAATGTAAATAGTGTACATAATACCTCATCTCAGAAATATAGACAGATAACGTTACGGTAAAAGTTTAAAATAACTCTGTGAGTCTATATTTATTTACTATTTTCTATATTTTGTATTTAAATTCTAATTTAATGTTCTGTTTAATAGCTTTCTTTTTCCATTGATTTTAGTTAAAAATTCAAAGGAGACGAGAACACACTGGTTATAGAATAACACAAAATTGTGTATATTCAATAACAGAGAAAACTTTTATTCAAAATTGTCTTAATAAGGCAATTAAATCGATAGACAATTTGGAAGTTAGGGTGAATTCAATCAAAGAAAATTGACTGATTATTATTAAAATATAATTGTAATTGATGTAAATCGTCATGTGTAGTGGTTTTAAAGTTTAAATCGGTTTTCTATCATTATGACCTTCATTTCCACATTTCAGTTTTTGCTGCATCAAATATCAAATAGGGTTTGAAAGTTTTTAAAATTATGAAACAAAAATTTAAAACAAAATAATTATCAGGTTCATTCCTGTTAAGTGCTCGAAAAAATATTCTGTTTTATACACCTATGAACGACCGCTGGAAAATGTATATTTATTATTAATATATAATTTATAACTCTGTTGTTTTACACCGGGCACTATTTTATTAACACCAACACTCAATGTACGATATTTTATATATATATATATATATATATATATATATATATATATGTATGTGTGTGTGTGTGTGTGTGTGTGTGTGTGATCATCATCATAATTTCACCTCAAGTAACGAAATAAAGTCACTAAAACATCGCGAATACTGAATGTGAGAGAATATGAGGAAAAGAAAACATTATTAAGAAGATAAAACAATAAAAGAACAGGGATTAAAAAGACAGAAGATAATGATTGACATTGTATGTTTTTGAAGATCAAAATTTAATGCAAAGCAAGGAAACGGAAGACAGAGGGAATTGGAAGAGAAGAAACTGTTAGCATAGAACTTACGGTTACATGTAGCCATTTCAACTGTAGGAAGGTGAGACCTTGCTGCCAATGTAGTAGTACGCTTAAATTCATAAAGTTTAGGTGCCAAAGAGGAAAGCTCATCAGAACAATTGCAATGAAAATTGACCTTATCGAACTAATCAAATTTACCATTAAGAAGAAAACAGTTGTGTTATCAACATAGATACCTAGCTGAGAACATGACATCAGAAAGGCCGTTAAAAACAACATAGGTCCAAGGAAAGAAGCATGGGATGTCACTTATATTAATGCAAAAAATTTAGAAGTGTAGCGATTCAAGACAATTTTCATTTCGCGATTTGATACGAAAGATTGAATCAGTTCAAAGATTCGTCCAGAAATACCATAACCTTTCAACTTGTGAAGAAGACCAGCGTGCTAAACCCTGTCAAATGCCTTTCAGATATCCAAAGCAACAGCCCAAGTTTTACTATTCATACCAAAAGCTTGAGAGACACTTTCAGCAATAATCGTTAATACATCAACAGTTTAGCAAGAGAAGCGAAAGTCATATTGCTTATCTGAAAGAAGACTATCGTACTTTGCCAAAAAGAGGTAGAACACAAATTGGCCGATAGTTTGAAGAATCAGACGGCCAGCCTGAATTTTTAAAGACTGGAACCAACTACAAAAGAGGATTTCCATTAAGCAGAAAAGCAAGAAGTAACAAGGCATTCATTGTAGAGTTTAGAAAGAAAAAGGAGTAAGTTCAGGAGCTCATTTCTTAAGGACTATTTCAGGGATAACATTAATATATATATATATATATATATATATATATATATATATATATATATATTGAGAAATTGAAAACTTTCTATGTATCGTTCTCTGAAATGAATACCTCAGGCTAAAGTGGTGTTCTTATTTTATTGATATATATATATATATATATATATATATATATATATATATAGAGAGAGAGAGAGAGAGAGATAGATAGATAGATATATGGAGGGAATATAAATCTAAACGTTGGTTGCCTTAGGCTAATGAAGTCCTTTTAGATGTGTTACATAGAATTTTTTCCATTTTGTCGTTAAATTATCCAACGTTGTGCTGATGTTTAAAAATTCATAAATCAAATTCTCCCATATTTCATTCATATTATAAACGTTATTTGTTGTCGGTTCACCTTGCTTGAAGTTGCTCTCATATATCTATGTAATTGTCCTGATTTTAAATCTCAATAAATGTAATTCTTAATGTGGTTGTTTGTTATATTTATTTTAGACGTTTTCTTTTTTTAAAATTTAATGGATCTTTTTTGTATCCCGTATATTTTAGAATTTTGGTAATTAAATTTTATTAAACAAGGGAAATAATTATTCCAAATAGTTTCCTTATTCAAG